AATGGGACATGGCATTTTTGCATTCTTGATGAGATGTGTGGGAAATAATACATTTGACTGATAAAGGGATTCATGAGGATTGGTTGAAAATGTGAACTGAATCATATGGGTTTGGATTTAGATACCCCCATGGCCCCATCAAACAGGCCATGAAGGATTAGTTAAATTTGAACTGAAACTCGTTTCTTGTGGTAAGGGGAGGAAATTGGTTTGAGTAATGTGTGCTCTTTGCCATGATTAACAAGATTTGAACAATGTACATGTTCCTGCGATGTAGCTTCTTTTCCCCGGTGGAAGTAGCAATGGAGCTTCAAGTCGGACAGGCATTCTTTTATGAGCCTTCTGTTAGATGTTTTTTTGCATATCTGGAGCTCTAGACTCTTGATGTGTTTCTGATTCATATTTTAGTTGATGTCCTTGAAAATCCTTGCAGCATATGAATCTGCATGGCAGTAGCAACCGATCTGTTTCAATTTAATTTTTTTTTCTACTTCTCTGTTTGCGTTCAAATTTCATCTAAGGCACTACTTTGATCTAAGTGCCAGGAGCTGTATGCACCGATGCCTGCAACCGCTTCACATCGGACGCCCCTGGGCTTGTCGCCACTAACTGTGTCCGACCATTCGTGACTCGTTCCCCATCCCGGTTGCGCCTCCGGCGTCAAGCCCCCCGCGCTCCTTCCCCCACCATGCCACGTTCCTCCCCCGCCGCACGCGCTCCTCCCCTCGCCGCGGCGCCATCCCCGCTGCACCCTGGTCCTCCGCCGCGCTGTCTCGGCCGTGCCTCTTCCCTTGTCCCAACATCTCATCTCCTCTGCAACATCCGTCCAACCATTGCAACTTATGCAGTTATACGTCTAAAACAGATAAAACATGTGGAACATACACTTGCAACATATGTGTATAGTCATTGCAATATATACAACATCAGATCCTTTTGCAACATCAAGATGAAACATGAAACATACATATGAAACACATGAAACATACAGATGAAACGCGTGAAACATACATATGAAATAATTGAAACACTTAAAACACTGCTGTGGTGGTGCGGGCGCAGTAGCGCGGTCGCGGTGGAGCAAGCCATGGCGATGCGGGCACGGAGAGTTGGTTCGAGGATGGATGGGGAAATAGTGGCGACTCGAGAAAAAGGTGAGAGCGATGATTTTATTTTTTTATTTCCGTGCGGATGACAATGTTGCCTGTTGGGCCATTCGGACGTCGGAGGCCCACCAACGCGCGTCCGGACAAACCACACTACTACACGAATGGTTTCTAGGAGAGGCTGGTGAGACTTTGTAGAGGCGGCTCGGCTAGCCGCCCCTACCATACCGTCTCTACAAATCATGTATTTGTAGGGGCGGTTCCCAGACCGCCCTTACAAATCGATTTGTAGAGACGGTTGGTGTTATCAGCCGCCCAGGGGCAGCTGGTAAAACCAGCCGCCTCTACAAAATCGATTTGTACGGGCGGCCGTAGTACCAGCCGCCCCTATAATACCTGTTTGTAGGGGCGGTTCAGTCTAGAACCGCCCCTACAGTATATTTTTCCGTAAATAAAAAATTCAAATTTACAATTCAAATTCGACCAGAACACACACACATATATATAATTCAAATCTGACCAGAACATATATAATTCAAATCTGACCACAAGCACAAGAACATTATATAAACTACCATTACAAGTCCAATTTACATAGAACCTGAATGCCCTACTCGAATTATTTTAGCAAATGTAACTTGTTAGTATCAAAAGTGAACGTTACAAATATATATACAAACATATAAGCTAATGAGGATTGTCGATATGTATACGTCTTGAGAATCGATATGAAGTCTTTGTATGTCACCGGGTCCCTATCTATTGAATCCAAGACCCATGACATGCTCCTCCCGACATCGACGCCTATATAAATTCAGTGGTTGCTGCATGAATTTAATATGGCAAACACATTTATACTATGTAAACATGTCATGTCAATAGGCAACAAGAAATCAACAAATACTTCATCAACTAAACATGTGACGGTGGGAAGGTACGCAGTCACATAGCTTGGAAGGCTGCAGATGCAGTTTTCTGGTAACACACAACAACCTAATAATTCACATGATTTGGCTGCAGTAATATAAAGAGTAAAATGTCCGTTTCAAATACTATGAATGAATCTAAGGCAGCATAGGCTCACAATATATGGTCACATGTTTGGGCAAATAAAAAAGCACAGAGAAAGAAAACTGGATAGGCAGGAGATAATGCCTCACCTAGAGTATAGTAAATTGTTTTTATGCTTGGAGATTCCAATTTCAATTCCAATACTTTATCCTTCATTTATAACAAACAGCAATAGCAATAAAATTGACCAATCAAAATTAAGCAAAAACAAAGGAAGATGTAGCAGAAAAGGCACATTATATACTAACCTCAAAATTGTACTGACCAGCAGGCGCAATGTAGCCTAAGCCCAAATGTATTATTTGATGGACCGGAAGAATAGGACCGAAACATATAAGGAAAAAAAACAAAGAAGATAGATCTGTAGCAAACTGAAATAGAGGCACCTATTGCACCCACCCAACCATGTATATGAACAAAAGCGTAGCAACTAATGAAAACAAAACAACACATGCAAAAGAGAACTGCTAGGCCATAATGACATTGTAGATATGAATATAGCTGCATATATATAACTGCATATATGAGTATAGAATTATAGATGACATATGAGAAGCTAAAGCCAAAGGATCCGAATAATTAGCCTCTCCGAAACACTGTGTAGCAAGGCACTTTAACTCTGAATAGTGCTGGGAAAAATGCATGGCCATACAAACAGTCATGTGGCCCCCAAATTTAGCAAAACAAATTGGTTTCAAAAGCTAATGGATCAAACTTTAGAATGGGAGCCATCAATCCGTGCGATTAGTAACCTTTTCTTGCACAAATTTTGCCATAACAATAGAAAAGTCCACCACTCTCCAATCCTAGTTTTTTGGTAACATTCAAAATACAGGAAAGGAAAATGGAGAGGGGAAGTACCTAGAGGGCATCACAGAGGAGACCTGGGTTCAAAAGGGGTGCATTCATGGGACTGCTTGATTCATAGGTGCAACTCTGCTTGCCAATTGGTGCCATGCACGAGGGATGTGAGGAATATCAGCTACAAAGTTCAGATATGGTAAGACGACAGAAAATTTTTGAGGCAAAAAATTATAGAGGTGCTGCACATAGCCATGTACTGAACATTACCGTCGCCATGTAACTTGAGTGCCCTTGATTTCTATAAAGATATTGTAGCGAGCAGCCACCCATGCCAGCGGCGCCCAATTACCTGCACAAAGGGGAAAATGGAAAGATAGATGATCTAGGGGAGGAGCATGAGACGAAGGAGGAGAAGGGGATGGGGCACTGCCACATCCAGTAGCCGAGCTGAGCCGCGGGCGCTGCCGGCGAGGAAGAGGCCACCTATAGCCGGGGTCGGCCGTGCTGTGTGGTTCGTGGCTTGTGATGTAGCTGGTTTCGTCGAGCAGAGGCAGCTAGGGTTTCGTGAAGCACTGGAACACACGCGAATCGGTGGAATGCGGCAGCGGTGGGTGGTACCCGCGCCTGGCGGAAGGGGGGCGTGGAGGAGGAGAAGGACGGCCGCCGCCGCGCCGAGGGCAGGCCACCGCGGAGGCCCGTCCGTGCCGCCGCCCTGCCGCGTCGGGAGGGATGGGGAGAGAGAGGGAGGGGATGAGAAGAGACTGTCGAGACTCACCCGCGAGGGGAACGGAGGGGGAAGGAGGCCGCCGGTGCGGACTCACCGGCGAGGGGAACGGAGGGGGAGGGGCGGCGGGTGCGCCACCCTGGGGGGGCGTCGTTGCCTCGGGAGACCGAGAGAGATAGGATGGGGCGAGTTCTGTTTTTTTTGTGACGAGGAAGGGAGCGGGCTAATATTTTTTGTGGAGGGGGATTTCGGGCGACGTGCCCCGCTCCTGTCCAAGTAAGCGAATTTGAGGCAATGTGGCCACCCTGATTGAATTTTGGATGACGTGGCCGGTGTGAGAAGCCGGAGGTGGAACAAGGTAGCTGCTATATATACAGCGGGCATTTATAGGGGCGGCTGGTGATTCAGCCACCCCTACAAATGGACACAGCAGGGGCGGCTGGTAATAGCCGCCTCTACATACCAGCCGCCCCTACAAATCGACGTATTTGTAGGGGCGGCTCGTATTACCAGCCGTCCCTAATATGACATTTGTAGGGGTGGCTGCTGTGCTGGAGTCCGAGCACATCACTGTAGGGGCTGCTCCAATGCCAGCCGCCCCTAAAAAAAAAGCCCCGTTGCTATAAACTGTTTTTCACGTAGTGACCGATGCCCTACCCACAGCATTATCGCATAATAATACTTATCACTAATGACATAATGGCAGAATGTCTCGGTCATGTTATGAACATTTCAACTGATTGATAGCACCTACACATATATACAGTATAATATACTTATCACTAACGAGTAGATAACGGCAGGTCTTGGCATCATGTTATAAAACCTTACGCTTACCCGTCCGATCTGGATTGCGACCAACCTCCGTGGCGATATTTCTGTCACTAGTTTTTATCTGGTGAGCGAGTAATAATAGGGCCTTTTATCTGATGTTGTTGCTGTCTGCATGGACACCAAACTGTTGGTAACACTGCAGGCAGCCACCTATATCTGAAGTTCTGAACTTCTGAACATCGATGATGCTTCTGAACTTCGGTGATTGGTAGGTTCAGTGTTAGCATCGTGCCGGATGCAGGCTCATATGTCAACTAGCTAAGCCATTAACTAGTTGCTAGCCAACTCCAGCTAATGTAGACTAATTTGTGCCGTGCCCCAACTAGTAACTGGCTCTAGTGATTCAAACGGGCCCTAACCTTGGTACTGTGATAGTTAACATGTTATCCTCGAAATTGCATTACAAATCTCTCAGTTTCTCAATCCAACGAACAAATCAAAGAATCACTGTGCACTGCCTGCTAAAAAAATGTGCTCACAATCTGGTGCAGGGAGGAGTAAGTTCCTAGGACGGCGACACACACTCCGACCACCAGTATGGCGACGATCCCCGCGGCCTCGGCACGGCGAACCTCTCCGATCCTGAGGTAGCTCAGGCACGGGAACAGGACGACGACGGTGACGTTGAGAGAGGAGCCGATGAAGGACATGAGGTAGCCGAAGAAGGGCACCGTGCACGCCGCCACCACCGTGCTGACAACGACGGCGGTGCTGATGGCCGCCCTGGCGAGCCCGCGATGACGGCGACAGCTTCTCCTCTATCGCCGTCGTGATGGGCTGGATGACGAGCGCGTACTTGGCCAGCGGGGTGATCAGGGTCGTCAGGATGGCGATCCTCGTGTACACCTTCCCCGACGGGAGGTTCAGCGTCACCAGCGACTTCACGTCGTCCACGTAGATCATGTACCCTAGAACCGCCGTCAGCGCGTAGTTGAGGCTGCAGAGCACCGAGGAGGCCAGGAGGACTTTGGTGAAGTCATTCCTGTTGCTCATGGAGGTGTACACCGTGGGGAAGACGCCGTGGCCGGCGAAGCAGACGAAATATAAGCTGAGGGAAGTGGGCAGCTCGGCGAGGCTAAAGACATTGGCATCCTTGGCGGCATGGAAGCCGTGCTCGGCCACGCCGGCCCAGACCAGGGACGCCGTGAGGGCCACCGACGCGACGAGCCCGACCGCCGACACGTAGGCGAGCACGCAGAGGTCCCGGAGCCACGTAGTCGGGAGTATGACCACGGCCGCCACGAGCGTGAACAGCTGCTTCCCCCGCAGGACGTAGCCGCCAGGGAGGCCGACGGCCGTGCCGGGGAGCAGCTTGTCGAGGTTGTCGCCCTCGAGGATGAGGAAGCTGATGGCGACCAGGTAGAGCTCGCCGTACATGACGTCGCCGATGGTCTTCCGGCCCGGCCACCCGAACACGAGATGGCCGATGTCCGGGTAGCTCCTGACGGCGTCGCCGCCGGCGCGCATGCAGCGGGCGATGAGCTCGCCGGTGTAGTAGCAGACGGCGCCGACGACGGCGAAGAGCGCCAGGCTGAGCGTACGGCACGGACAACAACCCGACGCCTATACAAGGAATCACATTGCATTCGGATGAATCTTGCTGTGATTATATTCGTTCGTCATGTATGTAGGCGAATCAACAAGATCGTCGATGGACGCACGGTCGTAATCGTACCTGAGATGACGTTGCTGAGGTTGAGGCAGCTCCGCCAGAAGGAGGCGCCCGTGTCGTGATGGAGGAGGAGCTGCGCCTCCATGTTGTCGACGTCGTCGGCGCCGCCGCCGCTGCCGCGCTGCTCCTCATCTTTGCCCGGGACAAGGAAGGGCTCATCGAGAGGGCTCTCCGCCGCCTTCATCGCCGGCTCGGCAGTTTGTTGGCCTTTATAGATTGCCTCCGGATTTTATCTAACCATGGACGTGGGCCTATTTTTATCGGTAACTAACTCTGAACGTCTTTCTCCGAATGGGGGCAAGGCTTTTCTATACCAAGATGCAAAATTTCCACCCCTTTGTCTATTTATTTTAGTCTGGCACTCCCTAACTACTTTTACACGTTTTTATACCGTCTCTATTCATGTCAACGACCCTCCTATTTTATACATATGCTGGGCTAAGAATCCTAATTCTAATTCGAATAGTGTTGGTGTTTTTTATCGACAGATATTCGGTTCTTAAAGAACTCGCCTGATGCAAAGAGCAAGCACAGTAGAGACACAGAATTTATACTGGTTCGGCCCCCCGGAAAGCAAGTAAAAGCCGTACGTCCAGTTGCTACTTGTTTGTATTACGATCTCGTCGAATAGCGAGATGGCGATTACAACATGACTATATAAGAGTTTCTGTAGGGGACCGTGACGCCTAAGAGAAGGGGGTTGAATTAGGCAACTTAAAACTCTACTTCCTAAACTATGGTCTTTTTTTGTAATCTTAGCAAAACCTATGTAAAAGATAAACTATCTAAATGTACAACTACGATTTTGCTAGTGTGTTGCTATCTCTATCGTAAAAATAGTAATACAATCAATGTAAATGCGGAAGCTCAAGAGCAAGGTAGAGATATGCAAACTCCCATCGACGACTCCAATATTTTTACCGAGGTATCGAGAAGTGCGCAAGCTTTTCCTAGTCCTCGTTGGAGCCCCTCGCAAGGAATCCCTCGCAAGGGCCAAGCTCCCGGTCGGGTAACTCCGTGGATAGCATCGGGCCTTCTCCAGGCGCAAAGTGGGTCTCCGACATGCCTTCTGGCAAGCCTCTCCCGGATGCTCCCCGCCGTCTTCACTATCAAGCTTCCGGCCGAAACGGCGCGGGCCTTGTTCCCTCCGGTACATGGTGGCGGCCACACCACAAATGCGGTTGGTGTGATCTCGCAAGACTACAAGCCCCTCCGATGTACAACAATGGTGCGCGCAAGCACCGAGTGGTAAGAGGTATGCAAAACTCACTAAACACTAGACCTAAACCTAGAGCAAGTGCATAAGCGGTGGTCTAATTAATCTAAGCACCTCGCAAAGCACCTACGCTAATCACCTAATGAATCACTAAGCACTATTTAAGTGGAGATCACTAAAATGGTGTATCAACACCCTTGATATGTTTTCTCAGCTCCACCATCGTCAAATGACCTGTTGGGGGTCTATTTATAAGCCCCTCTGAGAAAGTAGCCGTTGGGGATGAAATCCCGCTTTTCTGCTACTGACCGGACACTGATCACATCCTGACCGGACGCGTCCGGTCGTCCCGACCGTTAGAGCCGCGATCAACTAATCGGACGCTGTCAGCGTCCGGTCACATGCCACCGGACGTGTCCGGTCGCAATTTCGCCGCTCTGGAACCTTTCTGTACTCGACCGGATGCTGCAGTTCTGTGTTCGGTCGATTTGCTTGTTCAGCGTCTGGTCGCTGCTGCTGCCGAGCCTCTGATCGGAGCGTCCGATCACCTCTGTGAGCTCCTTTCTCTGTGATCTTACGTTCAGCTTGGTTCCTATCTTCGTGCTTAGACTTTGCTTGATATCTTGGATCTTCTCTTATACTTCTGAGGTCTTGATTAAGTTGTTGATCATCGGATCATCATGTCACCTTCATCCAAGTCACGTCTTGCACCCTATTGAACTACAAAATAAACACTTGCAAATTCTTTAGTCCAATTTGGTTGTGTTGGTCATCAAACACCAAAATTCAAAGTAAATGGACCTAGGGTCCATTTTCCTTACAATCTACTCCTTTTTGGTGATTGATGACAACACGACCAAAGCAAGCAAATAATAGAATTTTGAAATGATGCTAAAAGATACTACTTGTAAGACTAAAAGATACTACATAAAAACTTATCTTGCCCTTGCAAATGTCCCCATGTGGCATTATGGATATAAGCCTTGCTTTCTACAAATTTTCCCATTAAATAGACCAATCCATAATCCACTATCCTCCCTTTCTCGAACCATTACCACTTGAAGACCATTACCACTTGTAAACCATTATGATCTAGCTTTTGGTCCTACAAAATAATGCTTGCTTTTGGTCCTCTAAATTCTCTCTCTTTGGAATCAAACACCGAAAAGGAAGACATTAGTAGCACAAGAGAGGGTCAAACTTTATGATCCTTTGTATGTAGAGTGGAATTGGTCACAAAATTTGACTCTCACATTATATAGACTAAGCTCCCCCTAAATATATGCATACATCTGATAGAAGGCAAAGCATATGCATAATTGGTAAATTTTTGCTCAAGGGAATTTAATCTATATAATGCATGGAGAAAGCATATAAATATCAAAATGAACTCAACATGATGATATTGGTTTAGAAATACCACATGTGGAAACCAATTTGATTTCTACCACTTGCAATAGGTGGTAGATATTTGAAGTATGATGCTTAACTCCGGGGACTCCATTTTCCTTGCAATGAGATTACTACACACATGATAAGCTTGAAAAGGTGTTAGTCTCAAAGCATCCAACTTGTAGAGTAACCTCCCCCTAAATTTGTGCACACAAGTGTGGAATACTTGTAGGAAACATGCACATTGTTTTTAGAATAAAAAATACCACTTGAAAGATGACATCACATGAATGTGAGAGTCATTTTTGAAGACGATATTCAGGAGAAATTATCTACAATTTTGATTTTGGCACATATTAGATGAACAATCAAAAGTCAAGCTATGTGCCATGCTCCTAAACAATTTTAAACCATGTAGGTTTGCTCCAAGGGTTAAGAATAAAACTGAGCAAGGCTACCATAAGATATACCTAGTGTATGCATGACAAAAGATATAAGCATGCAAATGCAAACATAGGCATGAAAAGTAATTAGATGCTTAAACATAACAATTTGTAAGAAATACCACTTGTAGGAAATACAAATTGATTCTACTTGAAGAAAATTGAATCTAGTTACCTAACATGGGAAGGAGAATTTGGGTCCATAGTATTCACTAACCCACTTGGCAATGATTTTATCCATCATGATGCACCCCATGAAATGCGCCCATACTTTGCCAAGTCTCCAAATTCCCCAAAGTCCATCGGACTTCTTACTTCTCTTTCGGGATCCAAACCTTCGTGGTGCTTTTCATGTTGGAAATAATTTCCTTTGGCACCCAAAAGTGTTTGACCTCATTGTTGGCTTGCTTGTTCACCTTGATGGCCACCACTTTGTCATTTTTTTCTTCTTTAACAAGTATGGTGTGGAGGCCTTCTTGTCCACCTTGTTGGTGTAGGTGTTGGAGAGCTTGCTTGTTTGCTTCTTCTCTTTCTTCTTTACTCCTCCCCCATTCTTCACCTTGCACTCATAGGACTTGTGACCTTCCTTGTGGCATACGTAGCAAACTATAGTTTGTCCTTCATCAAGCTTCCTCACTCCCTTGATAGTGTTATCTTGATGAAGTTGGGCTTGCTTCGTCTTGCCTTTCACTTGAGTCAAGTCCTTGGTGAGGCAAGCCACTTTTTGTTTGAGTTGCTCATTCTCCTTTGCAACCACTTGTGTGCATGTATCTACAACAACTTTCTCAACACAAACTTGGTTGCACAAAGATGAGTCTAAACATAAATTATTACAAGAAGTAGAGGCATCCTTTTTAGACATGTTAAAGATAGAACTTTTCTTATTAGATGCCTTGGTGGGGGTTGTACTAACGGTTTCAAGATTAGCAACTTTATTAGTTAACTCATCACAATGTTTGCACATGGTTTCTATTTTAGCAAGCAAACTTTTATAAGCATTTTGTGAGCTAGCTAACTTTTTTTTTAATTTTTCTTTTTTCTTTACAAGTCGCTCATCATTGATTGTGCACGCATTTGTTGTTGCACTAGCCTCAAGTTGCTCAATTTTAGTAGATAGTTCAATATTGAGATTAGCAAAGTTCTCATATTGTTCAAGCAAGGTTTTGTATGCTTCTTATGAACTATCTAGCTTTTCTTTTAATTTTTCGAGCTTCTTTTGTTGACTAGTGCAAACTTTAGCATAATTAAGATTTTATTGCATAATTTCATCATAAGAAGACATTTCATCATCACTATCACTCTCACTAGAAAATAAGCTTTCGTTACCTCATGCCATAAGGCACATACGAGAAGAGCTTGATGATGAGTGCTTGCGCCCTCGCCTCTTGTGATGGTGTTCTTCTTCACTTGAAGAATCATCCCATGACCTTATTGATGTGAGGGCTTGGTTCTTGCATGCCTTCTTCTTTGTGTTGGGTGTGGGCTTGTTTGGACAGACTTCCACAAAGTGTCCCAACTCGCCGCATCCATAGCATCCTCTCTTTCTTTGCTCATTTCTTTGATTGGTGAAAATGAGATCTTGGATTTGGATGGACACACCCTTAACATTGAGCCTTTGGATCATCTTCTCCACCTTGTTGATTAGTTTGATTGATTCTTCATCAAGGTCGGAGGTGGAGGAGGAGGATTGATCATCTTCATTTGAATCTTCATCATCATCATCCTCATCCTCATCTTCTTCTTCATCTTTACTTGAGGAGCTTGAGCTTGAGCTTGTCTCAACTTGCTTGCCCTTCATCTTCTTTTTCTCGCTACATGCGAGAGCTTTGCCTTTGCTCGATGAAGAGGCTTCATCTTGACCCATCTTACGTGACATTTCAAATGCCACTATCTTGCCAATGACTATGCCCAGGGTCATGGTGCTCAAGTTCTCCATGTTGTGAAGGATGGTGATGATGCTTGTATATTTCTTTTGTGGTAGCACGGAGATGATCTTCCTCACGATGTCCGCATCATCTAGCTTTGTTAATCCTATTGAATGGAGCTCATTGATAATTAGATTCAAATGAGAATACATATCACAAACAAGCTCATCATCATTTATTTCAAAGGAATCATAATTTTGTTTAGCTA